TTTTAGCTTCATCATTTTGTGCAATTTCTTCTTGCTTGGTAATTAGAATAGGTCTAAAAGAAAGAAGTTGGATTATTGTCATAAAAAATATTAATAATATATTTTTGTCAAGTTTGCTTTGCTAAACCAGTAAATTTTGTCAACCGTGTGCTTAGTTCATATTTTTACTCAAACTTTTAAAGACAGTTCTTGACTTTACTGGATTGATGAATTTATTTTTTTATATATGAGCTCAGAATCTGCAATCAGCTCTGAGTGATTTCTTGGACCAACTATCTGTAAATCATTGTATCCAATTGATTTGAAAAAATTGGTCCACAACTAAATTTTTATTAGTTGTAAATTAATTAATTCAAATATTTAAGCAATTGATATTAATATAATAGTTACCTGAAGGAAATTTTTACAATTTTGTGTGGCAATTTGCCAATAGCATATTTGCAGAATAGAAAGAATTAATGATTTTAGAGTTTTGTTTATTTCTTCCAAAATCATAAATGCTAATTAAAAAGTCCTGATTATAAAATGATACAATGTCTTTTTATAATATCATGTATTATCAGATTAAGCTGTATTAGTTGTACTTCACCTGCAACTTCAATTATGTGATATATAAGATGATGACACACTGAGCATACTGGAGAAAAAATTCTTTTTGTGGCTCTCTTTAGTAGTACATCATTTTTTCTAATAGCTGCTCTATAATTAATAATAGCTTGCAGATAACAAAATATCTATTTAAATAATAAATTAATAATTCACAAATTAAATAAATAAATTTATCAAAAATAATGCAACACAAAAGTTTAAGAAATAAATAAATAATCAGAAAGCTTAATAACATAATGTAATATATGGAATTTGAATCCATTTAGTCTTAATTATACATATAACAGAGCTAGATATTCTTGTTCTAATTAACTTAGATTAACTGTCATGCAATTTTATGAACATATATATCTATGAAATCATAGAATAATTTTGAAAGAACTGCTAAATTGGATATAAAAAAAAAATATTCAATGCCTCTATATTTTGTCCATAATAAAAATTTAAATTCTTTTTAATTGAATAAATTTTTGACATGCTGTGTTAGGTACTTGAGAATGACTTACTGTTTTTAAATATATTAACAATCACACACTAGATATAAATTAGAATTTAATAATCAAAATACTTAACTTAATAAAGAACAACTTTTACAAATACTCTTTTTATATGAAAATCTTAATAAACAATCTTCCAACAATGCAAAATCTCAAAATTTATTATTCAAATCTATATACAACAAATAAATATTGTAGGTGCTTTTTAATCAAAAACTCTTATTACATACTTTTATTTCTAAAAATACTAAAAATAAGGGATGTCTAAAGTAGAGGCAACTCATTTTTTTGATTAACTTTAGAGTTAGGGGCATCTTATATTAGAGTTAGGTAAGATATTTAGCAATTATATATAAGCAAAATCGCCTTCCTGACATTTTTGATTAACTTACCCAGGGTAGGTTTAGACTGCCATTTTTTGTATTTTTCAGGTTTTTTTTTTTTTATTTCTTGCTTTGCTTCACCGGAGATCATCAAAATTCTATAATTTGGTTGGTTGTTTATTACATGATTTGTCTTCGCTTTAGACATCCTCTAAAAATATTTAACAATTACTTATTAATATAACTACTAACATATTTTAACAACTCCTAACTTATATTTATTTAATCTACTTTACTTTTTAATACTCTCTTATTACTAACAATGAACTTCTTAAATACATATTATAATTCTCTTATTCTTACTATTCTTGGAATTTATTTCAGAACAATATACCAAAATATCAAAACTTTAATTAAAAAGCAAACAGAACAAATACTTATTAATCTTTCTAATAATCTCCTATACTGGTTTTATTATGAAATATAGTTCAAATGTAACTTTTTTCAACATTAATAGGAAATTGTCCAAAATATTACACTTAAAACTAAGTGTACTAAACTCTTATTTACTAACTAAATAAATTCATATAGATCCTATTTACAATTAATAGACCCATATAATACTATTAAAAAATAGTACTTATAAGGCTTCTTTCTAACAATATGCTTTTTATAATATTATAATTAATATTTTAAAGTCTTCTTCAACCTTTTCTAACTAGAATTACTTTATTTATTTAATTTAATAATAGTATTAAATAAAGAATAGAAGGTGTAATATCATATTAGATACTCTGTAATATGAGTATAATTAGAAATCTTTACTATAGAAATTCATTTTAAAACTATATCTTTTTGTTATTAGCTAGTTTTAAGTTAAAGAAATTTAGTAGTCTGGTTAAATAACTTATCTGTCTCCTTATTCAAGTCTTTCTAATAACAAGAAGACTATTAAATTTTGGATTAATTTAAATTTATTGTAATAAAGTTTCTATTATAAAAGAAGAAGAATAATAATATAGTCATCCTTCTCTATAATCACGTCATTTGTTTTACATAAAAAAGATGTGATTATAAAATTTTAATAGTAATGTCATTATATAAAGTTTTTTTAATAAATATACTGTATTGCTAATAATTTTTCAAAAAATAGTGCTTATAAAGAGAATATAATTATATAGGAGATAACTGTAAAGAAGAATGACTATAATAATAAGAAGATATTTAATTTTAAAATTTTTAATCAAAATTTCAAAATTAAGTATTTTTTTTAAAAATTTACAAATATAAAATAAATACATATTAATATAGTATATTATTATATATAGAACCAGTCTATTTAGAGTATAAAAATAAAATTAATTAGTAAAATATGAAAATTATACTATTTAAATTTTAAATTTGTTGATCCAGATAAGATTAGTATATTAAAATTTGAGACAAAATTTTTATAATATTAACTATATACTGAAATCTGAGTGAAGTTAAATAAAAAGTATTTTTTTTATTAAGATAAGAACCAAAGTAAATTAATTGAAAGTTGTAGAGCTCACTGAGATGTATCTAATGATAATTAAATCATTTAAATTAGCCTAGTAAATACTAAGATATTGCTAAAAATATTTGGCTAACTATATAAAATTCTATATAAACAAATATAAAAATTTTATATAGTTAGCTAAACATTTTTTAGTAATATCTTAGTATTTGCTAAGTTAATTTGAACAATTTAACTAATATTAGATATGTTTTAGTAAGCTCTACAACTTTAATTAATTAACTTTGGTTGTTAATTTAATAAAAAAAATACTTTTTATTTAATTCTGCTTAGATTCTAGTATATAATAAAAATTTATATTGTACGTATCCTAAAATTTACTATTGTCCAAATATAGTAATTATGCCAATCTTATCCAGATTATTAGTTAAAATAAATTTAAAAATTTTATATAAAAATATAGTAGTTATAAAAAATAATTATTATAAAATTATTAATATTATTTATAAAATTTATAAAATTATAAAATTATAAAAATATAGATAGCTTTGCAGAAATTATAAAATAAAGAAAGTTTTAAATTTTAAATTTTTTAAATTTTTATATTTTAATTTAAAAATAAATTATATATTTAAAAACAGTAAAATCTAAATAGTGCTTATATACACTTTATACTTTCAAGTTTTGATAGTAAATAAAGATAAAAACTAATATTAGGGTTAAAATTAAGATTAGTATTAGGGTTAGAGTTAGAGTTTTTTTAGACTAAAATTGGGAGAGAAACATTTTTTAGTAGTTACACATCAGGATTACCCTAGTAAAATTTTGAGATATTGGCAATTTTTATAGTAAGAAGTACATAGTATATAAGATACTATCTAGTCTAGTTCTTAAAAACTATATAATTAGATTTAATATTAGACTATGCAAAATTAATTAATTGGTTTTATAACATAGCCGGGTCAAAATTTGAAACTTCTAAAAAAAAATTTTTATATATTTTAATAACTGGATGGGTTTTAAAAAATTTTTTATATAAATTTTATAAAATTTTATATATAAAATTTTTTTAAAAAAAGCTAGCCAGCTGGGTCTATTTTTAAAATTTTAAGTTATAAAAACCAAGTAATTAAATTTGTATAGCTTTATTTAAATTTTTATAATATAGTTGCACTTCTATATAATCACACTATCAAGATTTATAAAAAAATAGAAGTAAATTTTTATATATTTAATAGTAGTTGGTTTAAAAAATAAATATATTTATATATAGATCACTCTTTCTGATGATTCCTTGTACCAAAAATACAACAAACTTTTTTTTCAAAAAAATAGTAGACTATGGTAGAAAAAAAAAGTATAAGACTGATAAAAACTATAAACTGGCACCTGTTATTTTGAGATAGTTCTCATATACCACTAGCTAACAGGCTTAGAGCTTATCACTTACCATAGGAACAGCATTTGTTATTTAGAAGTAGTTCTTATATGTTACTTGCTAACAAGTTCAGGGTTTATCACTTACTAATAAGAAAATCAGCAGTAAACTTGGCTCTTTATGTTCTACTACTTTTGAAAAAAAATATACGCTCCTTTAAGAATAGGGAGAACAAATTTTAAATTATATATAAAACTAATTGTAAATTTTTTTTTAATTAAAAATTAAAAAATATTTTATTAAGTAAGCTAATTTTAAAAATTAATTAAAAATTGTAGAATAGCTTTTTCCCATTCTAATAATTGTAAAATTATTAAAATTGGTTTAATATTCACTGAAAAACAAGTATTTAAAGATAGTATATCATAAATTGTTTACAAAAATGATGATTATGTGATAGCAACCAATCAAAATTAATTATTTTGTATAACTGGAAGAACATATGGGCTAATTATTCTCATTTCATATAAGTAAAATTGTGTGACATTTACAAATTTGATCTGCATCGTACTACCAAATCGCATGATAATTTAGACTTAAACCAATAACTGCTTTGAATAATGAGCCTTTACTATTGAAATCACGAACTTCAAATCAGTTGTAGATCAGTTTTGAATCAGTTCAGTAAGACTTTAATGGAAGCAGATTTAGAAAATTCACTCACGGTAACTATTTTTTCTAAAATGCAATTACTTTAAATATAAAAGAGCTTACATTATTATTATAAATAGAATTCCGCCAGAACTTTTTATCATGATTATCCTAATAATCCTTACATAAATGCCCAATATATTGCCAGAAATAAACTTTTTCAATCAAGATATAAAATAATAGAACTTGGATATTATCCACAAAATGTTAAATATACACAAAAAGGAAAAAACATTCAATATCAAATTCCTAATAAATACATTATAAAAACCGAAGTTGCAAATCAGACTGTACGTTGTGAAACAAAGTATACTGTTTTTAACAAGGTCTTATATAC